GAAGAAAAAAAAAAGAAAAAAAAATCATAAATATGATTCTCATTTGCCTGGCAGGACTGAATTGAAACTGCCAAATAACCTTTTTTGGGATCATTTCCAAGTTGCTGTAGTGACTTTGAGGTGTGTTTTCAGCTAAAGCGGAGTACACACAACAACCGGCCCAACTTTGAGCACCGACTAAACTGCAGTCGCTCCCACAGAACACAGAATCGCCGCCTCTGAATATCGTTTGAATAGTTGCACGTGTTGCGGATCTCCGTGTGTAGTAGCACTTGTGTCAAAGTTTAGTCTGAGCGGTTATGCTAATTTCCCTTAGCCCCTCTATGGCGTTTTGCATTCTGCATTAGCATTACGGTAGCAGCTTTTCATTTGCTTGATGCGTCATTTCTACAATAAACGGCTGGCAGGCACACTTTGCCTCTCATTCGAAGAGCTGCGCCTGTCTTCTTTTCCAAAGTGATGTTATACGATCGGCTCCCATTCCTTGACGGCAACGGAGTGAGTCCAGGCACTAAGGCGTACTTTTGCAAAGTGTGTTTTAATAAGTTTCAATGTGATCCTTGTTTTTGGGGGTGTGGGGGGGTGATCTCTTTACATCGGGGATTTTCATCCCCCCCCCCGATATTTTACCACACCCCTCAGCCTCACGCTTGCCTATTTTCTTTCGCTCATCACGCGCACTCTCTCACATTTGACACATCAGTTCTAAAATCTGCACAAATGTGTGTACCCCGCCAAAGCTTCTTTTGGCTTGATTTAAACAAGCGAAGGAGGAGACGGTCGACACGAACAATTTGGAGTGTGAGCGCGTTAGGAAGTTACCGAGTGGATGAAGCGCTGCCTGGCGACTCCCCAAGACGCATGGATAAAGAGCAGCGAGTTGCAGGGGGCGCTTGAAATCAAAAGTCCGGGGAAATGTATATGTACACAAACAGCTCTCTGGCTTTTTTTTTTTTTTTAGGGTAGCTGTTTGGCCACTATAAAATACAACACCTCTCCCGGATTCTCTTGGCCAAACTTTTGCTTTTCTTCTTGCCGTTCTTCTCTTTGCTGTCTTCCATCTTCCTCGCCCGGATCTCCCTCATTAAATCAAAGAACACCTGGGGGGGAGGGAACCAAAATTCAATAAATGAAGGTCACTTTTTTTTCCCCCATTCATCAAAAGATGAGGGGAAAGAAAAAAAAACGCAGATCAGACAGACCTTGTCTACGTTGGCCCGGGTCTTGGCTGAGGTCTCCACGTAGCACACCCCCCACTGCTCGGCGCGGGCCTTGGCCTCGTCCGCGTTCACCTGCCGCCTGTCGTCCAGGTCCGACTTGTTGCCCACCAGCAGGAAGGGAACGTTCTCGTCCTCCTTCACTCGTAGGATTTGCTCTCTGCCGAGGAGTTGGAGGGGGGGAGTCAAAGCCGAATGTCACCCAATTTCCGCATGATTTTCTCAACTTCAGCCATACCTGAAGTCGACCGTCGCCGCAAAAGACTCCAGCTCCGTGATGGAGAAAACGCAGAGAAAGCCCTCGCCGCTGCGGAAGTAGTTGTCGCGAATGGCAGCATAGTCCTCCTGCCCGGCCGTGTCCAGGATGTCGATCTGCACCTCCTCGCCGTCCAGCACCACCTTCTTCCTGTAGCTATCCGCTTTGGTGGGTTCGTAGTCTTCCACAAACTAGGACACAAAAGCCAACGGGAACAGCGGTGGGGGGGGCGCTCGACACGGGGAATTTGAACGACGCCCACACCTGAATCCTACGAGCGCGCTTACCTCGTCATACATGAACTGAAGCGTGAGCGCTGACTTCCCCACTCCGCCGCTGCCCACCATAATCACTTTGTGGAGGGCTAAAGAATTCTGCCCTTTGGGTTTAGCAGCTGCCATGGCGCTGGGTCGCGAGGGATCCGATCGGGGAGGGATTGTGAAATGAAGGCCGGACGATTTAGATCAACACCACCAGCTGCAGCAGCGGGGGCTTTAAATCCCTGAAACAAACAAAACAAAAAATTCAATGGATTTGAGGCCTTCTTTTGTTTTCCGATATTTCATCATTTTTCATCACAATAGGTGTGACGATACTTCCAGGTAGCAAAAAACCTGGGAAAATATCAAGCCCTTTTAACAGTTATTATTTCAGCACGCCCCTTGACAGTCAACATAAATGTTTGATGCGTTTGTGTGCACGTACAAGCCAGGATCAACCCGTAAAAAGCCACTAGTTCACGGAATCGGTCCTGTACATTCTTTACAAGGCAGTCATTTTATTGTACTATTCGTCCATTTTCTATTGCACACATCCTGTTCGGGGACATGGGAGCTCCAGAGCACATGCAGAGCACATAAACAACTTTTTCCACTCGCATTCACACCTGTGGACAATTCAGAGTCCCCAGCGAGGCTAACATTTGTTTTTGGAATGTTGGGGGGAGTTGGAGGACCTGGGGAAAACACACTCACACACACAGACACACAAAGGTCGGAGCTGGGATTCAAGCTCTGAACGTCAGAGCTGCGAGGCAGATGTGCAAACCACTGCTTCAATGCGCTGCAGAATCAAATACATAAAGGCAATGTTTTACACAGATTAATATGTTCTTTCCAGAACTATAAAACGTGAAATCTGAAATAAAACCAAGACCTCGGTAAGCCACACGAAAGCAGGAAAAGCCCCCCCAAGTCGCAAGATCCTGCTGAAACTTTTCATTTTGAACATTTTTAGTCCATATTTGCTCACTTGTATTGTTTTAATTAGCTTTAATGACTACCTAGTTTTGGAAGAACAAATCTAACGGCTGTGTTGGACGAAATGTGACGTAACGCAGTGCGGTAACGGGTTACCTGGCTGACAAGTTTTATTATTATTATCTTGAACGGTTATCGTGACAAGTGGGTTATTAGAAAATCTATCCAACCTTCAAATGTGTTCGATACGAGGAGTAACAGCGAGAAAACGAATCGGAGCGTCAAGTATTAGCAGTTCGATTAGCAACTTAACAGTTCACAGCCGCAGATCAAAAATAAAATAGAATACAAGTCTAAGAAAAAAAAACTAGCTCGCTGTTTGATGCACAGTGGGCGGTGTGGCGACTAAAATGACCCTCAGCCTTACCAGTGAGATGAGTGTTAATAAATGGCATCAGAAAAACACACCCAAAAAAAAAAAAGACAGCGCGAGAGAGCGACACTGATAGTTATGACTGACAAAAGCCGAGGAGAAAATACCATACACAGCAACAGATGTTCGCTCGGATCCTCCCTGGCCGCCCGGTCAGGACGGCGGCGGCGGCCACTCGGGCAATTCAACAGCAGGCTAACCAGCAGCTAATAACAAGTGAACGATGCTAAGCGACGAAGCACGTCGTGAAAGAAACATCACCTTCCAGAGTTGTTGAAAGCTTTCACGCGGTTACCGCCTCGGGCGAGGTTTTGAGTTGCCGTTGATAAAAGAGGGGAAAAAAAAGGCTTCCTTGCGAGCTGGTCGTTAGCTCATGGCTAGTTCCCCAAGCTAGCTCGAGCTGTTAGCAAGTAGGGATGTGATCGGCAAGCAAGCGGGCTGGGCACGACTCGACTCGACTCGGGTTTACTCGGCTATACTCGGCTTTGTAGCCTCCTCCCAGCGTCCATAGAGCCCCGATGGTTCGTCCCACATTCGGCTTCGTGAACCTCCGCCCTGTCTCCGAAGACCAATTAGCTCATTTGTAACTTAAAAAAAAAAGCATATATTCGCCTGTCACTATTATTATTGATTTCAAAACGCGTTAATATCCATCAAATTAATGAAATACTTAAACTTAACGACCCATTTTAATTGGCTCACCACTCTAAAGGGCTCGCACGCCTGAACAGAAAAAAAAAATCTTAACAGTGCAGGTAATTATGAGAAAATGTGCATCAAATTGTGCTCTTTACAGAGTGCCGGAAAACAATAATTAACCCCATTCACAGTGATGAGCTCCATCTTATCACAGCTGCACGCCAAGTATGCATCCAAGAATTGGAATGAGACTTTCCAGCTGGTTAGAAAATGCATGGTAAGTCATTTTAAAAGTTGGCCATTCACTCCCCTGACGGCGCTCGACTTGTGAGACAGATTAGGACAACTGTAAAATGTTTAGATTTTAGGGAAGGCCCTTTAAGATTATACTGCACATTGCAACGAATAAACAGGTGCATGGAAAGCCCATCCCACTGTCAATATTCTTGTATATGCTTTGTGTAGCGGGCGGGGAAGCCAAGTGTGTTTACACAAAGATGCCTTTGTCACACAACGACAGTACTCCATTGTGGCGCTTGTTTGTATACTCACTCTCCACAGACAGACTTCCCCTTTATCTCGCCATAGGACAAATCCAGAGATGACTCCGCGCCCTGCCAGCCGCTCGTTGCGACTCTGGAAAGGCTCCAGGAGGTGTTTAAGGGTAAACAAAAAGAGCAATAAACTGTGTTGGCTGAATGCAGCTGATGTTGCGCTTGTATGCGCTTTAGTGTCCTCCATCAACGCCATGAGATCTCGTTTGGAGCTGGCGGCTCAACGACAAGGGTAATCAGGAAAATTCCTGGTCTTTTTTTTTTTGGAATGCACCCGCTATCACTTTCAATCTGTGTTTGTGAACAGATTTATTGGTTCACTAAACTAAACCCCCGCAAACTTTGGAATGACTGTTGCTGAAATGCTGTCACGCTAACAGCTGTGATGCTAACAAATTAGCATTCCTGAGTACAGAACACAAAAGACGGCTTGATAAGAATGTCACGTCCCCCGTGGATTTTTTTTTTTCTTGAGCTTCAAATCCGACTCGCAGGATGGGCTTCCACTTCACGGAGGCCACGTGCTACCTGACGGCTGACCTGTTCTACGTGGAGGCGGCGCTGCTGCCGTGCGGCGGCGTGGACGAGGTCACGGTGGCGCCGCACGGTGGAGCCCCTTCGGTGCGTGACGGCAAATTGATTCTTTGTGCATCACTTATTTCTACTATAACATAAAAAAAAAATGTCTTGCAGAGGAGCGAGATCCTCCTGCAGCCTCTCAGGTGAGACGGGACCACTTTGTTGGATCTCTTCAATAGGTGTAGCTCGTAAACTGGCTTAAAAAAAGGCCTTAATATGCTTTGTTTGCCCACAAAAGGTCAAAAGACTTTTCAGAGTTCTCCGCCAGGCTGAAAGACCTCGCAAGCCAGTATGACGTCCCCGGAGACAAGTACTACTCGCAATAGTTTTTTTCTTTTTTCTAGTGCTGTCAGTTTAGCGCGTTATTATCGGCGTTAATTTAAAACAATTTTAACTCGGTTAAGTTTTTTTAATCACGAGATAAATGCGGCACCACGTCACAAAGGATGTTACGTTGCTAATAATAAAATGTGTTCCAAGTTTGAATAACTGCTCCAAGTGAAAAATGTTTATGTAAAATTGAATATCGAAATTGTTGTTTCAGTCAATATTTGCATTTTGCACAAAGAAAACTGATGTGCGATTCCATGTTGATGAGAGCATTAAAATGGGAAAAATAGGAGAAAAAGAAATCAAATAAAATTGAGAACAGATAAAAATCTGTGATTAATTACAGCTAATTCTGAGTTAACTATGAAATTATACAATTGATCGCGATTAAAATTTTTAATCGTTTGACGGCACTAGTTTTTTCATGAAATACTTGAATGTGTCTTAACCGCCTTGTGAATTTCCCTTTCAGCGATGTAAAATTCAAACTATTCACGGCTTTCCAACACCTCAGGAAAGACATGCAAGCCATTTCGCATTTGCCCAGGTGAGTGATTCACGTTGTTTGAAGGGGGTCCGTTGGCATGCGAATGAGTTGCACATTTCACGTGGGAAATGCTTTTCAATTTGCTTCCAGAGTGGCCAGCGGCAACAGCAGCCGGCAGATGGCCGATATTATCAATGACAGCTTGTTTGGCTGTCTCCTCGCTGAACAAGCAGGTTAAACGATGACAAATGACGGAAATCAAAATTCTTCCTTTTGACACAAAGATTTCTCTTCTTTCAGATTGCCCTTTGACCATCCATTTCTACTCGCCACCAACTAGCGAAGCGAACGGAGTGAATTTCGCGGACAAGCAGGCGGCCCGGGTGGCTGTGCGCTCCAGTCACGTGTCACACAAACTTCAAATGGCGTCAGTCGTCCCGCTGCCCCTACAACTCGACCCCGAGGGGTAAAGTCGGATTTAGTTCCGCGTCCCATTATCGCTGTTCCAAATGGATCTGGAATTGGTGAAAATTCGTGATATACGGAGACCATGAAAATATATCGTTTTCATCGTCCTACCCTCGTCCACATGCTTTAAATTGACTCAAATGTATGTTTTTTGAAGTACTCTGTGGATATCGCAGGAGTAATTTCGTGCTTTCCTGTCAGTTTTCCCGTCTTATCCCCAACGAGCGAAGTAGCGCACGAGACGTTGCCTGCCTGCTTCGTGCTCCGCCTAAAGCCAACCATACCCACGCTGAGGTCTTTTGTAGACAAGATCAACCAGATTACAGGTTTGTACACTTTTAACGGTGTCATGCCAGGTGATCGAATGATTTGTACCTGATAGTTTGTCCGTATTTACTGACCACTTCATTAGGTACTCCGACAGTCTTAAAAATGTCAAATGATTTTTTTTTACAAAGGATAATAATGAAAGTTTACTGAAACTGCTTTCCGTTTGGGTACCTCAAGTTGTGCCCTGGTTGCGTTCTCTTTCCCAGGAGTTGCAGTACCAGACCACGACGTGCAGTGGGCGCAATTTCGCAATCTTCTGGCTCAAGACTCGATAAGTCACTGCAGTCCGGAGGATGAATTGGATCGTTTTTGCGCTGCGGTAAGTACAGTCGAAAAAAGATTTTTCCTCCCCATGTTAACATTGCATTGTCAAAGAGAGCAAGCCACTTTCGATTGGTCAACACGAACACGCGTGAACTGACCAATAATGTAAATTTGTGGAAACAAAAAGAGAAATTTACCAAATTTTGGCCCGTGCCAGTGACATGGTCTCTCCATCTCTCCGACTTGGTTTCAGTCGCCGTATATGATGCGTCTATGTGTACAGCTTCTTCCTGGCGATGTCACGCACACCTACGTCTTCCCCGCAGAGGCGTGGGAAGCGGCCTCTCACGCGGGCGTCGCGTTGGACGCCGTTCCCTTCACCCACGCCGCCCACGTTCCGCGCCTGGTGGAGTTGCTGCGGCATCAGTGCGCCATCAACACATTGCTGAAGAGCTGCATGTCCCAAGGTCCAGGTAGGCAGGATGACGCAAAATCTCCTTGGCAGAGGTGAAAAGCATATCGTGGTTAAGTTTCAGATTGCGATCACCATTTTGAGGTACGTCCGGAGGCTGACACCGACTTCTCTGTGACATTCCAGCGGCCAGACAAAAACTCGCTTGCCATTTGTAAGCGGGTTTTATTACGGCACAACATCTTAAAGTCATCATTTTGCATATAACGCTAACTTTAATCAAACAATATTCTGCTTGTTGACAGTGCTGGTGGGCATTGCGGATTCTCAGAATATTACATGCAGATTATACGGAGCTGGGATTGGCGATTCCTCCCGGGATGAGTACATCGCCAGCATCATGAGGAGGTATCCGCTTGGAGGACAGAAATGCTGGATTTCAGAATAAAACACTTTATTATTTATTTTTTGTAACTCCAGCACAGAGGTTACATGACTAAATGAAGCTCCTCCTTTTATTTCAACATAGAGAAGCAATTATATATATTTGTAGCTATGGCCTGAGCACTAAAACTATTTGACTTTTTTTTTTTTCTAGGTGCATGTCCATCCCTCTGAGCCTCCACGCGTTGTACGAAAAGATGAAACTCACTGCCGCCGCCCCTCCTGACTCCGAAAAGGACTCGACGACTTCCCTGTGTGTACCCATAGAAGACTGATCATTGTTATCGACCAAGTTGCTTGCCAACATGAGTCCCGACGCCCCCGCGGGCATCTCGCCACATTGACTGACTACTTACACTACTTTTGCTCCATCTCGAGTCCATATATTTTCAGTTTTCAATAAAAGAGTTAGACTGCATTGACATCTATGGTCGCTGGTTACAGTTATGCGTGCGCACATCCAGTACCGATAATTGGGCTGATTTTGAGCCAGGCTCGATTATCGGATGTCTCTTAATTATTTGTTGTGACGTTTAAGAGTTGTCAGTCTTAGCACTGCAACGGTAAGAGCATTTGGCACCCCAAAAAATTAAAAAAAATGTAAAATAAAATAAAGCCTTTACAAAGATAATCTCAGCATTCCGTCCCTGCTGCTCATCTACCAATGCAAACGCAAGGTTTCTGGATAAAAATGAGTCTATAGTGCCGTCGGCCTGCATGGATTCATTACGTCACCACCAGACCTCTGCAGAGGTATCCGATGACCTGTGCGCCACCTATTAATAGAAACATTCCAAAACGTGCGGTAAAACCATTCTCCACTTACAGTCGAACACCACCCACCTCCCCAGTGTTGGTGTGGGAATCCAGCAAATGGCAGTGGCATTCTTATGTGAAGGATAATCAGTGGGGGCACCACTAAGGAAGCAATGACAAGGCAGTGAACCTGATTTACTGCAAGGGATGCTTTTGTTTCAGACCCACCTGCAATAAATCAAGTCAATAAGTGAGAAAGTCAACACTAAAGAACATAAAACATTTAGTTTGTCTTCCTTTGGGCCATTTAGCGAAACATGACGTCACGGTGAAACGTCTTATCCAATTACTTTTTAGAATAAGCAACTTTTAAGGAAAGGTTGGCTCCCCCCACCTCGCACTACAGCGCCATCTGCAGGATTTCACCACTCAAATCACATTTCACTTTGTGACTCGCAGCAAACATCTATTTATAGCCGCATTTTTTTTATATTCAAATGACCACTCTCTTGCCGCAGTCCTTCAAATTATGATGTTCGCCCATTGTTTGCAGACTTGCACTCCGGCGGTTTTTGCGCGCCGCGGTCCCTTTAAATCCGGACGACGGGAGGCTCGTACGCGCCGCGGAGTCGGACCTCATGCGCGTGCACGACGTCCTGGACCTTATTATCGAGGCAGGCAGGCGGACGACAACAGCTGCTTACCATTTAGGACACCTACAGAACTTTTTTTTTTTAATCTCGGAGCTTTTTTTTTTTGTTGTTGTTGTTCCTGCCCAGTGTTCTGTCGTCGAGGCTTGTGCGCATGCGCAGAAAAAGGGAACGCGAGGAGCGAAAAGGAGGAGGGAGGATGTAGACGCGCCGTGCACCGCTGGAAGAAGGAGGAGGAGAAGGAGAAGAAGAAGAAGAGGAGGAAGAAGAAGAGGCTGAAGGCCGGGCCGTGAGGCGTCCTTCTCGCGTCCACATCTGGATTAACTATTTGGATTTTTTAAAATCTCCGCTCGAGTTTTTGGTGCTCGACTATGTGTCCTCTCAAATGGGTTCCAACAACGGAAAACTGTATGGAAGCGAGGGTGAGTTGCTCCCAAGTTGCGCCAACAACTTGAAGAGTACTTTCGTGTGTGTGTGTGTGCGTGCGTGCGCCCGAAATGACTAAAATGAAACTTAATGTGTAGTTACACCAACGAAGCAGGCATAGCACCGGCATTACCGCAAAGGAATATTCTTCTGGGCAAATTTCTCCCTCTGACAGCCACATAACAACACCTTTCATTCTCGTAAAAGATGGACTAGTCACTCCAAAGGCAAAAAAGGGAGCCCCGTTTAAGCTATAAAATACAACTCGACTGCTATGCAATTTGCTCCATTAAAACCAAGTCAAAGGCACACTGACAGACACATTTCAATGTCACCCTCAAGGGAAAAAGGCGGAGACGCTTTAGCCATTTAATACAACACCACGGCAAAATAGATTCTTTTTTGTGCTTTTTGCACTATCATGAATACATCAAATATATATTTCAATGCCTCTCATCCTAAAGGGGGCGAGTCCATTTTAAGGCAAAAAAAAAAAAGACGTTTTTGACACTTAAACGTCTATGGATAAAAATAAATAAATAAAAATAAAATAAAAAAAATCTAGCATGAAAGTAAACGTAAGGAACTCAAATTACGATCGATACCAATTATTTGGGCGGACGTCCCATTTCAGTTTCAAGAAGGCTTTTCAAGCATTAAAAGTCAAGTGTCAAGGTTGCAAAAGTGACTCTGTTAGCTTGATGCTAAAATATCGTGGAAAATGCCTTCTATGGGCGAACAGCAATTAGCATCCTTCAGTCATCCCAACAATTCAAACAACTGCTTCTTGAACATGGCAGAGGGCGGGTTCAAAGGGCACGAGCGACTCATGAGAAGACAATTCCTGACATTTCTTGACTCGCCGCTGTCGTTTGAACGTCACATGCAAAAAAAAAAAAAAAAAAAACAAAAAAAAAAAACACCAGAGGAATTCAGTCTGGCAAAGTGACACTTTCATCCGTACGCAGGCAGTGGTCAGGTCTCTAAATGTGCAGAGTTAGCAGAGGCTGGTTCAAATTTGACTAAAACACACTTTTTTTTTCTTAGTTGCCTGTTCACACTCTCTCACTGGAAGGAAATGAACGACTATTGTATAACATCACTTTCAGGAAATGAAAAGACATGCTTGCTTCAATATGTTTGTCAATCCCAGGCACTTTGGTGCAAATTTTTTTTTTTTTTTTGCTTTTGTTACACCTGAAACTATAAAACGACAAAAACAAGACTGAGGAAGGGTTTTTGATGTCAAAATAATTTTATTTCCAGCTACGCAACTTAGAAACGCATCATGAGCGATGCTGACTCATTGCAAGGCTCAAACTGAACGTTGGTGGCTTTTTTTTTTACATGCTGTTCACTATTCAGTGACACATTCTCTGTTTCTACCATAATTCTAACACATTTCTATCATATATATATATATATATATATAT